AAAAGAATGATAACATCTTCTGTGAACCTGGAGTGGGCAAAGTTAGGAAGATGACTGTTAGTACGCTTGCAAAAATGTGATTTTTAGGGACCTTTACAAGAACAGGTTGATATCTGCTTTGAAAAAGAACGTGAATACTCTGAGCCCATGAACCTCCCACCTTCTATTGGAAAGTGTTCCTAGAACAAACATATGTAAAGACACAGGACACGTGTGTGATGTGGTTTGTAGGATAGTGAATATAATTTGTAAACACTGTGAAAGCCTCTGAAAAAAGAGAGTTAATAAATCAGACATCTGTAGGGATTTGTATGATTGTTCGTGTTTATTTTATTGCACATACAAAGTATTCTGAGTCAGAAAACTGGCTTTTATTTGCTCCCTCTCTTTCTTTCTTTTTCTTTCTGTTGGGGCTCAACCCTGGGCCTTGTACATGCAAGCCAAAGCACTCTACTGCTGAGCTATACCCTCAGTCTCTATTTCTCTAATTACCTCACCACAAATAAATTTGCCTCCTTTTCCCTAAGTGCTAGATTCCCTCACCCCAGATCTCAGACCAACCCTTGGAGTGGCTCAGTGAAAACCAGGTGGAAACTTTTCCTACATGAGCATCAAGGCCCTGCATAGGCCAGAAACGAGGGAGGGAAGAGTTTTCCTGCTTATAAAAGGGAAGGAGGCAGCACGCTTGAAGGGGTCTCTTCTTTAATCCAACTTTTTGGTATGCAATAAAATCTCTAAAGGTGAAGAGCGCACCTTTGATTTAGAGATGTCTCCAAGTTCCAAGGCTCGTTCATCCTTAAAATACAAACACCTGGGAAGATTGCAAACACCGAAGGAGATTGCAGCTCCACTCTCCCAGGTACCCTAGGTCTTAACCTAACCTAGGTCATAACCTTTTAGTCCTCTGGGGGAAAGCTAAAGAGAAATTTTATTAACATTTAAATCAGAGCAATTAACTAGACAAATGGCTACAGACCTAATTCTTTTTTTTTTTTTAAAGAGAGAGTGAGAGAGGAGAGAGAGAGAGAGTTTTTAATATTTATTTTTTAGTTCTCGGCGGACACAACATCTTTGTTGGTATGTGGTGCTGAGGATCGAACCCGGGCCACACGCATGCCAGGCTACCGCTTGAGCCACATCCCCAGCCCCAGACCTAATTCTTATGGATGTAAAGTCTCAGGAGGCCAGGGCTTTTTATAGAATTGATAAAAATAAATCCAAAAGTTTTATTTCCCCACATATCCACCTCATTGAACGTTACTCAGTCATAAAAACAAATGAGCCTGAGCTATTTATCAGATGGATTTGCAGGATTCACAGAGGTACAAAATGCATGGTAGTGCAGAGTGTGACCTCAGTTTTACAACATAAACAATAAACGTACTGATGCACATTATATAAAAGTGTTTAAGCATGACAAAAGATATGCACATCAGATTTTTAGCTAATTAAAGAGGTGTGGAATATACACTAGTGAGAGGGGAAGAAAACAAACATTCACATATAAAATTTCATTTGGAAAGAATGCCAGTATAAAAATTCTCTGTGAGGTAATACCATTTTATTAACAATGATATATCCATGTGTAAGCATAAATGTGTATAGATATGTCATATTTGAGTTTATGAATGTAGTTGTAGAATATCTATATTTGAGTGTGAGTATGGATATGGAGATGTGCAGTGGGAGGAACCAATATGTTATTGATGGGTTTTTTGGAGTAGTGACATTTCAAAAACTTACCATTTCTTCTTTATATCTTTATATACTCCTAATTTTTTAACATGCAATTAATATTTACTCTAGTGTTAAATATGCTATTTATACTGTGGATCCGTGATTTTTCTTTTTCTTTTCTTTCCTTTTCTTTTTTTTTTTTTTTGCAGTTCCTTGGCCAAACCCAGGGTCTATGTTTGTCAGGGAACCACCCTACCATTGAACTACATTCCCAGCCCATACAGCTGCTTTTAATTCTTGAAAATATACCTTTAACTTGAATAATTTGAGATTATGTGCAGATGCTGCCATTTGCAGTTGACCTACCATATCCACCGCCTCCCACAGTTACTTGAGCAATCTACCTTGAAATATTTGAATTTATTTCCTGCTATTTTTATCTATGTGGTATCTATGTTACCATCATGAATTTCCAAATGGCAAGGCCAGTGCGGTTCCAGTTCAACTCTGGAGTTCCAGACCCAGGCTCTCCTTCCCAGCCAGCCTCCTTGCCGTAAGAATCACAAGTTCCCCCACACCTCCAGCACGAAGCGTGAAGTTATTCTGACCAAGTTCTCTTCCCAATGCTTCCAGCCCACTAAGTTATTTTCCCATACACGGCCCAGTAACCACCCGCTCCAATCTAGTGCCAGTATCAGGCACTGGAGATGCACAGCTCCACATCTCAGGAACTTAAGTCCTCACAGGAAAATCTGTGAAGGAAATCGACAACTGGACATCAAATTTCATGGAGGTGGGACTTCGTCTCTCAAAGTTTACAAAGCTTGCTTTCTCCCCTGGGTAATTTAAAATATATACATAAATGTACATTTATGTATAAATATATATGTATATATTTATAAATATATACATATTTCCCACTGCAGACCCATCTAAAGCTGTAGTCCTGTCTGAATTTCACCCAACTGCATTTTTTCCTCTTCTCTCAGTGAAGAAGGAGGAAGTCAGAAATGGGCCTCATCAAGGCCACAAGGCCACTCCTGAGGGACCACGTGTCGGTTCACAGCCTGAGGTCTGTTCTACCTCTTCATGAGCAGGTAAACAATTCCTTAATCCTCTTGTGATCACACACGGTCGGACTTATTTCCAATGAAATCCCATAAGTCCCCAAGGTGGCTGACCTGTAAGTCGAGATTTCTCTGAAAGCACTTTCTTTGTGGAGAGAAACCAATAATCCCTGCAGGTGTCCAAGTGGTAAGCTGATACACACCACAGGTGCCCCACTGAAAAGGGGCCAGCAGACAAGGCAGCTGGGCTTTGTGACTTACTCTTTCCCCACGGACCACACAAGCCTGTAATAGCGTTAAGTAATGTTTGCAGAGTACACATTCCCATCACCATTGCCAAGACGCTCCATCTAGAGCCACGTCCATGAGACCTAAGGGAAACCATTTCACTGCACCAGAGTTTCTGAGCTGGTCTCCCCATGGTCATTTCTATCCCTTACCAAGGACTCTCCAACAGCAGGCCGTGTTCTCTGTCCGGTGGAAAGCTTTCTAAGTGCTCCATTTGATTTAGGATGAAGGCCAAACTCTTACCCAGTCCCAAAGCCTACTTGGGCTGCTCCCTTCCTGCCGTTCTGGTCTCACCCTCGACCACCAACCCCTCAAGACCACTTAGGCTTGAGCCTCTAGTGGTTCCTAGAGCAGGTCAAGTCCCAGGTTTTGGAACTTGCAGCTCCCTCTGCCTGGAAATCCCCTGCCAAGGCCTAGATTCCCCACCTTCCATCTGCCTCAGAGAAAGTTTCCATGACTTACTGATGACCAACCCCTGGTTCCCATCGCTAGCTCTCTTGTAACACTTGCTGAACTCTTGTTAATTGTCACCTATCTCTCACATCAGATGGGAAACTTCTCTCCACAACACTGACACTTAGGTAGTGCCCAGCACACGTGCTCAGTCACTGTTGGATGGTGGGTGGGGATGGGTAGATGAACAAAGGAAGACACCCATCTACCTTTGGCTTTCAGCGAGAAGACTCAAGAGTCACCTACTTTTGAACTTCATGAATAAATGCCTACACTCTGTTTCCCTCCACAGTACACACATGGTCACTGGCTGTTTTCAAATGCTGAGGCCTACATGTGAGTGGCAGTCTGGTCCCCTTTCATCATCCCCCTCTTGTTCCCCGTCCCTCCCATTGGCTAGTCCAGTTAGAAGTCCTGGGGCATTTGTATATGGACAGCAGAATCAATACAGTGATTGAATGGTTTTTGGTGACTCATAATAAGCACATCTTATTGTTTAAGTTCTAGGTGTGTGGGCCTCAATAATTGATGAATATTAGTAATTTCCCTTTCCAGTAAAACAATATATTTCTTCCATTTTGCCCTTCTTCCCCAGAGAAACAGAAGCTTGGAGTAAACTGAGGTCAAAACATAGTACTTATAATTTAAAATCTTATTACTTAGAGCAAGAATCTTTTGGATACACTTGATTCAAAATAGTTTAAAATACACACACAACACACACACATATACACACACATGCATGTGTAATATATATATATATAAACTTTGTAGGCTTTCACTATAATTTAACATAAAAAATTTGAAGTACAGTTTACTTAGACAATTGTATGTTGCTAATATAATTTTCTTTAAAATAAATGCTTCAAAAACTGAAGAATCCAGTAGATCAACTAGATCTAATTTTGTATATTTGAAGTAGGCATCAAGTTTCCCAAATCAGCTTTGCAGTTGAGATATCTCTTTCTACTGTAAATTGAACCATAAAGTAGCTAAAAAGTTTTGAGCTTCAACTGTTTGGATTCAAATCCTGCACTAGTCTCTGACTCCAGATGAGTTATCGATGCTCTCTGGACCTTAGATCTCTTACCTATAAAATAGGAAAATGATAGTACCTGTTGGACAGGACTTTGGTAAAGATTTTAAATTATAATAAAATAAGTAAAGCAGTTAGGAATTGGGCTCAATATCTATTAGCTTTTAATGAGTTTTAGGGAATAATCATTTGGCTTATTTCATTTGGGATCTGCAAATTTCTTGCTTGGTAATTAACATAAACAAAATGAACTTGTAGAGCCTCACAAATCAAATTTAAAATTTTAAATGCAGTTTAAACTGCATGTATAACAACAACAAAAAAACATATAAAACAACACTAGGAAAGATGTAACTATACCTTAATAAAATAGCAACAACAGTTTAGCAAACGTGTAAGATTACCATGCAGTGTGTCTCTAAGGATATTTTATAGTAAAAGATTTATATAAGACACCCAGGTAATTAAGTTAAATAAGAAAAATCAGATAAAATGCCTAGTTTGAAATTATCAATAAGTGGGAAAATGAAATAAAGAAAGACATTAAGTGTTTCACTGCATCTTTAGCCATCGGCTTTCATTCTTCCAAGAATATCATGCACATCACAAACCAGGGATAGCAAACAGGTTTTATCTTCTACCCAATTCTTATCAATTGGAATGACTCAATGATGGATGGATTCTGTGGACACATCAGGTTCGTTGGGAAAAAGTCCCTAATCATTTATTGATGTACCCTACAAGTGCAGAAGGAAAAATGATGCAGCACATGCCACGTAATTAGTACTGCTAATAATCTCAAACTTGTAAATCAAAGTGGTTTGCCAGTACCAGGAAAAAGCAGCCGTAGGTCAGAGGAGTTTGGAACCCAGGCCAGGCTGTTGTCTCAGGAGTCTGGTGGAGCTCACAACCAGGGTTTCCATCTGTTCCTTCATTCACCTCCTCCTTCCATTGTTCAGCACTGCGGTTGTGTAGCCTGATCCCTGGCACACCTTAAGCAGGTCCTATATCTAAGGAAGGAAGGGACAGGATTAATGCAAGAACGGCTCAGCAGGCCCTCCTGTGCTGGTGGCTTGTTGGGGCTTGGGAACTCGTGAGCTACCCTGGAGGAAGAGCTTCAAGAGGACAGAGAGGAGAGTCGACAAGCAGAAAGCAAAGGTCTGGGTCTTGAGAACCCCCACCTGGAGTCTGGTGAGTACTGGCTGAACCTCCCCATAGTGAATGACCAGAATAGCTTCCCTCCAGGAGGAAATACAGAAGAGAAAAATATTTTATTTCATCTATAAAAGAGGAAAAAATTTTTTCTGCCTCTTGTACAACATTTCCCAAGGCCTCTTTCCATTGTTCTGTGGTGGAATTATTAGATTCATCACTAAGTCTTTCTTCAAGGGTTAAGTTAAGTGCTCTCTGAGCAAATCACTGCCAGGCCCTTGCCCTCCCCGTAGAAGAGAGACACGCTGGCCTACCCTCATGGAGGAAGCTGGCCTCCCCGTTAAAATGTGTCTGCTTTAAGATTAGGCCAGGGTCTCTTCAGTGGAGTTCACACAACAAGGGTATCAGGGTTCTCTAGCCAACTTGCACTGCCTGTTCATGCAAATCCTGCTGAAAAGAACAGGGGCACAGACAGACAGCAGATTAAGGAGCCCAGGTAAGCAGCGTGCAGAGTCTGCTCACCCAGGACCTCCTGGAGATCATGCCACAGGGACTGGTAACCAAGGGCTGATCCTCCTTCCTTTCCTCTAGCTAGAGAGAGGGTTCCTTCCTCTTCACCTACATCCTCAGAAGGAACCTGGACCACACAGCCACAGACACCTGGATCTGACAGTCTGGCTTCACAGGTCTCACAAGGCTCTTACCCAGTGGTCAGCAGGCAGTGCTAGAGCTAGGAACCCAGTCATCATGCTACTCGAAGGCCACAGGAGGCAGACGGAGTAGCATGATGGAACTTTGGGAACTCTCAGGGTCTCAGATGCACAAGGCTCAGAGGGTGCCTGAAACACCTTTCACACCAGTGACAGATTAACATGGAACAAAAGCCCCTAGAGGCCCTTAGGCATGGACCTGGTTGATGGAGACAGTATCTCTGTCACCTCGCAGTATCAACTCCGTGGAATATCCTGAGACCTCCTAGCACTCTCTAGGCTCCCCTGAAATGGGAACCTCAAAGCTGAGACCCATCCCTCAGGTGACTTTGTGAGGTGTATGAAGGGCCCAGGCCCCAGGGACCTCCTGGAGATTATTCCACTGAGGCCACTCACAGTGTTGACTTCTGTGCCCATCACCCTGCCTTGGAGCACAGCAGAAGTCCACAAGGACACAGTGAGCACATGGAATGTGGAACAAGAACATCCCTGACCCAGTGGGGCACATGCACACCCCCAGGCAGTGACTAGACCAGGCTGCTGCAGAAAGCCCTCTTGTTCCCTAAGAGAGCATCTCACTCAGGCCTCCACGTCTCAGGTGTGACAGAGGCTGGGTCCAGGGGGCCTGAAACTCCCAGGCAGCCCAGGGTGAAACCCGCTCCTTCCCAGTGCAAAAGAGCTTTCCATGTGCCAATTTCATCTTCCCCCAGGGAAGTGTGCAGACCAGAGCTGCATCTGCAGTCATGATCATGTGTAGCCCTCCGGGGCTGGGCAGGAAGCAAGCTGTAACTCAAGAAGTCAAAGATGCCTTCCCATCTGACGGGTGGAAAGCTCCAAGTCACTTAACAATGACAGAAACCAGGTGCCCACTCTGCACTGGCATCAGACCAGCCCCAGAAGGACCACGTTACACAGATAGGGTTCCTGGAATTGAAAAGCAGAAACTAGTTTGTTTATAAATTTCTGTGGCCAAGTTTACTAAGTATCACTGTTTTCCTATGTTATTGAAATTATGTTTACTAAACTTAAGGTGTTTAGATGCACATTTAAGAATTTATATTTTAGGTACACACAATTTATGTTTTTACTCAGTCTAAGAACTTTGAACCATTTATGGCAAGGAGATAGATCCTTTCTGCCAGTTCACAGATTAAAGGTTTGTTTTTTGTTATTTTTCCCTTAAGCCAAAAATAACAGATTAAGGAACTTCCAGTTCTTCCTGATTTTAAAAGCAGGCATATATACACAATGGACTATTATTCCACACTAAAAGAGAATAAAATCATGGCATTTGCAGGTAAATGTATGGAATTGGAGAATATCATGCTAAGTGAAGTAAGCCAATCCCCCAAAAAACAAATGCTAAATGTTTTCTCTGATATAAGGAGGCTGATTCATAATAGGGTGGGGGGGAAGCATGGGATGATTAGAGGAACTCGAGACACGGCAAAGGGGTGGGAGAGGAAGGGAGGGGACATGGAGGTAGGAAAGATGGTGGAATGAGATGGATATCATTACTCTAATACACGTATGAAGACATGAATGGTGTGACTCTGTGTATAACTAGAGATATGAAAAACTGTGCTCTATATGTGCAATATGAATTGTAATGCATTCTGCTGTCATACATATCTATCTATCTATCTATCTATATATATATATAAGGCAAGACGAGACTATTTGAAAAACCCTCCAAAGACAAACACTAAGAAATCCTAAATACATACAAAAAACATCCTTTGAGATGTGGAGTTGAGTGTACAGGGATAAAAGGAAATTCCCATGTGCCCAGAAAAAAAGACTCCAACATCCAGGCACAGCATAGCTGGGGTGGCTGCCCACTGGATGGGGCTGGTGTTTAGTGCTCAGAAGATGAGGAGCAGAGTGTGACGAACAGCCTAATACAAATGTGAATTCCAGAACGGGCTCTAGAGAAAACCGCCCCCCGGCCATAGGAGAAAAGTAAAAACGCTCAACTGTGTCATCCTGTGCTCAGAATATGTGAGCCTGAGTCTGTGCGACAGATTTAAATCATTAAGCTCACTAGCTAGACCCAGCAACCCCCAAGACAATCAATTAACACAGAACAAATCAGAAATTAGAAGGATCCCTGAGCCGCCTGGTCTAGTGGAGACAAGCCCTGAGCCAGGCCATACAGCATTCTGACATGTGGCCCCACAGAAAGGGAACTCGCCATCCAAAATCAAGCCCACTCAAAAGTAGAAAGGAAAACCGCATATTGAGGCTTTCTAAACCTTCAGGCAATTGGAGCACAGATAGATGGCCATCAATGTTTTAAAATGTACATTCGACATAACCAAAAAGAAAAACAAGTGCATGTAAGAGTAGATACAGCTATGGATTTTTTTTTTTTTTTAGTAGAAACTGAACTTGGGGGCACTGACCTACTGAATCACAGAACCACAACCCCGGTTCTATTTTGTATTTTATTCAGAGACAGGCTCTCACTCAGTTACTTAGTGCCCTGTTGCTGAGGCTGGCTTTGAACTTGTGATCCTCCTGCCTCAGCCTCCTGAGCCACTGGGATTACAGGCACACACCTGTGCAGGCACACACATGCCTGGCTCAGAAATCTTTTCAAAAAGCTAGGTAAAATACTTTTCTAAAAATACATATTCTTTAAAGCATTGCTGAGCTGGCAAAACTGTAAAGGAAACCCAGAGAAATGACAAGGAAGTAAAAGTTCCTAGGGAATAGGAGGGTTCTCATTCAGACAGCCAGAGGGACTGGGGGCCAGGAACCAAACCCCAAGAGCCCAGAACATGCAGGGCTTGCTGAGGGACCAAATCCAGTGAAAAACCGACCTTGGGGAAAGGGTGGCACACAATCCCCCCCTGCGTTGGTGTTGGCTTTGTAAAGAGGGAGGAACATTCTACTGAAAACTTTGAAACTGTAAGCTGCCTCTCCCGTGCATAGGTAGCTCACACCACACAGTAGTCTGACAGCAAATGGGACTTTGTTTTTCTCATATCTTTTCCTTTAGATTGTCAGGGAGAGTATGAAGAATACTTGGGAACCTTCTCCCAGATTCGCTTCTAGATATTCCTTCATGTTCTCCACTTCTGTTCTCCCTTCCCTTCTCATATTTATGTGCACATCTGTGTGTATTTGTACAAGTAAGCAAACATGAATGCACACTATTTTACTGAACCATCTAAAGGGATGTTGGGGGCACTGTGGCACTGCAGCCCTGTGTACTTCAGCTGATACCGCTGAGGGTCAGGCTATCCTTCTCTCTCATCCTAACACTGAACACACAGTTTATGTCCTATTTCCCCAATGCCTTCTAGAACTTTTTTTTCCCATTTTAGATTCCAGTTAAGTTTTTTGAATTGCATTTATGTAGCTCACTTTATTTTTTTCTAACTTGTAACTGTCTCCTCTGCCCAAGCCCTTTTGTCTTCTTTTATTGTATGTTGCTACATGATATTGATTCTTTTGAAGAAGCAAATCAGGGTTACTTCCCCTAGCAAATAGAGGTTATATGCTTAGCTGGCTTATTACTCTTCAGTCAAAATTTGAAGACTCACTGCATAATCTGTGATTGTAGAAATCCAAGGGGATTTCTGTCATTCACTCTGTCATGGTGGAGTCTGTGGATAGTCATAGTCTAAGGAGGAACCCCAAGAGGAGTGTAAGTAACTTCCCCAAGCTCTACAGCTACTCAGATCAAACGCAGTCTATTCACCCTCTTCCAGCATGCTTCAAAGCCAGTCAACCGATGTTCTGATTCCACTCTGGCTTCTTTGTGTTAAAACCTGACCAGAGCCCTTTGCCGTGGGCTCTTCGTATCTCTGCTGGTCACTGGGGCCGCAGACAGATAGGCTCTGAAGTGCCGACCCAAGGGAGACGATTTCCCACATCTGTTTTCCTTCCCCATGTTCATCTCCATTGGAGATGCATCTGCATCTTTATCATTAGTACACCCTGAAATAAAGCTTTTCAAAATGCTCCAGGCTTCCACGGTTTTGACTTTTCCTACATAAATAAATATTAAAAGCAATAATAAGCTCCTATCACGCACCTCTCCTGACTCTCTCCAAAGAAAAAAATTGAGGAGTGACTGTTCTAAGTATTGGAAATGACAAAAGTATACCTTTCTTTTAAGCACTGTCGAGTCCACATACTAAAATGTCCTTGGAGGAAATGAAAGATCTGCACCTGGAGGAAAAATACCTACAACCAGAAACCACAGAAATCGACGGAATCCTCATGACCAAGCTGATAAGTGATAACTGGGACAAAATCTGGAATTTCCAAGCCAAATCTGATGATCTCCTCATTGCAACCTACGCGAAGGCAGGTGAGTGTGCAGAAATAGCAGCGGGTGGCATCAGCCTTAGCAAAGCAATGATATTGAAAGTGGGACTCCTGATTTTAAAGAATACAGTGTTTCTCCAGGACTGGTTCCTGGAAAAAGTGAAACCAAGACTTATTCATGAATGCAAATTCAAGATCTCCCTCTTATTTAGGTCCTTGGTAAAGAAAGAGGTGGCCAGAATTGCAAAGGAATGAAAAAAAAAATTACAAAATAACGTAAGAGCACAGAATCTAAGAAATAGTGTGGAAGTTCTTCCAGTAAATCTTGGCTGCCCAGGAGCTCCTTCTTCTCTGTTAAGCTCTCCTGAAACGAACAGTAGCCCCTATTTCTGAGATGTTCCTCCTAGGGAGAAATTGACAAGAAAATGAATGCTTTCAGCCCAGTCGATACTGGGCTAAAATAACTGTGTCTAAAGCCTACGTGAGTATGGTGGAATGCATCTGGGAAAGTGGAGATGATGTCTACCAGCCTCTTATAAAATGAAGTGGATTATGTGTGTGTGGTGGGGAAGGCAAAGGATATCTCAGGATTGTGCAGAGTAGACAAATAGGAAACACGGCCACCAGGAAAGACTGTGATGAAGTGACGGATGATCTCCTGCATTTTCTATATTTCTAATTCCACACAGTGTGACCAAGTGAATCAGCAAAGAACTATAAGCTGTAACCAGTTTGGAAAAAAGTTTCTCAGGGACCACTTGACTCAATAAGAAAAATATTAGATATTCATAACCAGAAAGATTGCAAGAAAGTGTGCATTCACTGAAGATATTTGGAAGATGCTTCTTTCCTCATAGGTTCTGAAGCAGCCCACCTCACCAGATCTTAGTTAGTAAACTAGGTTAGGGGCTTTCAGTTTCTCAAGACTCTTCTTTCCTGACTAATTTGCTTTGGACACTTCTCTTGCCTAGTTCTGAACTTCATCCTGTATTGTTCCTCAGGAAGAAATTTCATTTCAACTCACCTTGAAGATTATGCAGTCCACCATATTGTCCTCTATATCATGGTCCTCTATATCAGTCCACCATATTGTCCTCTATATCACTCTCTCTCTATTCCCCACTTCCCAATACCTCTCGACCTCCTGTGAGCCTTTCTTACACTTCCCAGCTTGGAGAATATGTCCACCTCTCTCTTAGCTCTTGAAGTTTCCTCTCCTGGTTTGCCCTGCCTCCTTAATGGAGATGCACACTCCATTCCTGCTTTGAGTCTTCATTCCAGGCCTTGTACCTTTCTCCTCAATTAGACCTACTGACCCCCACTGCAGTAAGCCAGCCTCCCTCCCATAGTTTAACTTTTGCCTACCCATATGTCCATTAATATCCCTCCTCTCTATCATTTAGAATTCAGGTTGACTACAAGTATCAGAAAACTCAAAATAACACAAAAGAAAAGTTGTCCTTATATTGGTAGTCCAATACTGAAACAGTGGCTGCACCCATCATCAGCAAACCTGACTCCTTCTAACTTCCTACTCCACCACCTTAAGATGTAGCTTTTGCTTCTATGGTCCTGTATGAATTGCTGGAGGTCCAATCATCATTCCAAAATACCATCAAAGAGGTCGGAAATAAGGAGTTAGTTTCTGTACCTTCCTTTAAAAACTGCTTCCCAGAATTTAGTGCCCTGGCTACATGTAATTGCAAGAAAGATTGAAAATGCAGCTTTTTACATAAATAGTTATAATTCCAGCTAATATTTGAGGATCTCTTAATTTGAAAGAAAAAAATGAATAGTAGCTAGATAATAAGCAGTCTCTGCCATATCTCCTCCAAAAAAATATAATAAGCTTGTTAAAGGAGGGACATTGACTAATTCATCTTTACGTCTCATTACATTTGATTCAATATTTATACAACCAATCTAGGTCTATTACCTGCCAATTTCTATGCTAAATACTAAGGATACAGAGAACAGGTATTGCAACGAAGCACATCTTATGAGCAGGTGGTGACCATGAGAGTGGAGGGGCACCAGTGCTCAGAGGAGGGCCCCACCCACTTTGGTTGGCACAGAGAGAAGGTGACACATGAGATGATCCTGTTCCATGTTCAGAAAAAGCAAATTTAACTGAATAATCAAGGAAAAACGGATCGAACTGTGCCATGGTGAATGGAATTGAGAATAATCGATGCTTTTAGGTACAACCTGGACACAGGAGATTGTGGACATGATCCAAAATGATGGAGATGTGCAGAAGTGCCAGAGGGCCAACACCTTTGACCGGCACCCTTTCCTAGAGTGGTCTTTACCTCCACCTCTCAACTCAGGTACGTGTGCCCAGCTGGGACCTGAGAGGTCATTACCACCAGACAGGGTCAGTCTTCCCCTGAGGACAGCCTCAAGGCCTCTTGGAAAGTATTTCCACATGAAACTGAGAAGGAATCTGAAGATAATCTAAGTCAGACAACTAGGGAAAAAGACTTCCAAATTCCTTTTCTAAGATGTACGATTTGGCAGCATCAGGCCCACATTCCTTCCTTAGGCTGGAGCGTCTTAGTGTAGAGGAGGCAGATGGATCCTAGATAGTCTGGATCCTAAATGCCTCCCCCTCGTCCACACAGTGAAGGCTTGACCCCCATGTGGAGCGGACAGAGGTACAGTCCCTTGGGTAGGCAGGACGTAAGCGGGAGGGGTCTAGAGCACTGGGTGTGCCGTGGAAAGAGAGGGGCCTGGCCCTTGCTCTCTGCCTTGCCCTTCCTGTCCATGAGGTGAGCTGTTTTGTTCCACCCAACACTGTCACCATGAGACACTGCTCCATCATAGGCCCAAAGCAAAAGGGTCAAACGGTCCTGGACTGGAACCTCTAGAACTGTGAATGAAACAGATCTTTCCTCTTTATAAGTTGATTATCTGAAGTCTCTGTTTTCATGATGGAAAGCTGAAATAGCAGGATTGAGGAGCCATAGCACCCTTTGAGCCATATTTTTTTGGTATATAGATACTGAAATATTATTCAGCCATAAAGGAGTGAAATTCGGTCATTTGCCCCAGTGTGAATGTGACTAAAGAACATTATGTTCAGAGAGATAAGCCAGACACAGAAAGAAAAATACTGCATGTTCTTGCTCATCTGTGGGACTTAACAGTTAATTTTATAGAAATTGTAGACTACAAGTCACTAGAGCTTAGGAAGGGGGACCAGACAGAAATTGAATAATGAGCATCAAAATACAGTTAAAAGGGAAGAAAGAGTTCCAGCCTTCCATACAGCACAGTAGGTCATCTATAGTTCACAATAATTTCATTATGTATCTCATAATGAACTACAAGAGTCCAAAGTTTCCTAGCACAAATAAATGTTCAAAAAGATCAAGATGCTAATTACTTGGACTTGATGATTACACGTTGCATACATGTTACATTGTCACAGTGCCCCGTAAGAATATATGATTTTGTGTTGATCATGTGTCAGTTGTTTTTCACATGTTTTGAAAACCCATGTTCCTGTGTCATTCTGCTGCCAGCTCATGACGGGAATGTCTTCAAATGTATTTTATCTAAAACCTGTCTACCAAAGAATTAAGTCGAATTTATTATATAGTAACAATATCAAAAAAGATCATTCATCACACAAAATATAATAAGAAATATAAGACACAACACTCTTGAAGAGTCTGTAATCAAGTTGAGAATAAATAACATGTTTTTATAAAGTATATAGTAATAAATGGGAGCTTTGGCAACAGAAGATAACCCAATAGTGAGAAGGCATAGACTTGGGAATCCAACAATTCTGCTAGAAATAGTGGTTGGGATTCTTGACCATGAACAAGTTATTTGGCATCTCAAAATCTAATGTTTTTTATTTGTAAAATAATGATACCTATAATAAATACATATTATTATTTATATTTATATACTATTATTTATATAAATATAAATAATAATACCTAATAATACCAGATATTTGTTATAACATTTTCTTAATTTAATAGGGTCTTTAGCACTATAAAGCTCCTCCTTCTTCATTTCATATGAGAATTGAATCCTGCTTTATCTAATAGCATCACAATCCCTTTTTATTTTTAATTTGCATGCTTTATCTCTCTTCATTCCTTTATTTTGACCTTTATTAGTCAGTGTGTTTTAGAAAGGTCTATCCTGCATATAGTTAGATTTCCTTTTATGAGTCAATTTGAAAAACCTCAAAACTTCTAAATTTAAGAGCACTGACTCCTATTGATATGACTAATAGGTTTGGTTCTAATTATGTCAGATTCAAAAATTTCAAAATTTTGGTTCTAATTCAAAAATTCAAAATTCAAAAATTTTGGTTCTAATTATGTCAGATTCAAAAATTTCATTTGAAATTACTGTGTATAATCATATTTACTGTGTTTATATGTTTTTTTTTCTTTTCTTTTATTAAAGTGTATGCAGGACTTTTTGTTTGGGTTTTTATTGTTTTGTTTGTTGTAGTATTTTTTATGATTAGGAAAATTTCTACCTTTTTGCCAGTGTTTATCTACTATAAATTACTACCTCTAAAAATGTTAATTTTTTTCTCTTACCTAATCTTTTATGATCTGATATGCTGGTTTCAAAAGAATCCTCTGACTCCCTCATTACTTATACAAGAGCTGGTGATATCACTCAAATTTTGAGTTGCATTATTTCTACTTCATTGTAATCTATAAGATCTACATATTATTTCACCCAGGACTTCACTTGCATTATTTTAGATCTAGTACTACATAATGTGAAATATTGCTCTTAAGTACTTTTAACAAAGTGCTCTGGGTCGTTTCTTGGTTCAATGAGACTTATTCTCGTAGATAGTGAAGGAAGGGCTCCTGTGTGCTGCATTTAGTGACTTCTTGCACACTTAATCCTTCATTCTACAACTCTTTGGTATTTAAAGCGCAGCTGCACTGTAACCAGTGAATAAAAGATGCTGGTTACAGTTCTTTCCTAAAGACTCTTTAAAATGCTACTCCACCTTTTCCTTGTTTGTTTGTTTTTTATGCTATTTCTAAGAAGTCCAGCGCTAGTTGTATTCTCTCAACTTCATGAATCATTTCATCTGTTTTCTAGAGGTGCTTATCTTCAGATGTATAACTTCAGTATGTTTCAGAATTGATCATTGTAAATCCACTTCCCGTGGCTCAGATGTGAATTCAAGGCCTTGTTCCAGAAAGTTGGTTCAACTTATGGACTTAAAAATCAGTTCCATCCCACTATTATTTTTTACTTCTCAGGAACTTCAATGCATGCCAGGTTTGGAACTTCCTCACCTGTCTTCTGCTTTGGACACTTTCTTTTCACTTCTTTCATTTTGTCACTGTCATTTTCTTGCTTTCCTTCACTGTCTCCTATTAAGTTTGCATTTAAAGCTTTTCTCCATTGTCTACATCATGATTTAATCTGTTTCTTGTATTCTTTTGGTTTTTTTCTATATCTTTCTTGTCTTTCTTGATTTCTACCAGATCTTTTTGTACTTGTCTATCTTTTTTTTATTTCTACTCTTATTTTTTGTAGTTCTCTTATTTTATATATATATATTCCCCAAATTTCTGTTTCAGAATATTGAATTTAGTCTGACAGGTTGTGGCACCATGTTTTCAGGTTTGTAGTTGGTTTGGGAAAGTGTTTGGTTTTCTTTTTGTGACTTTTACAGTAATTTGGTACTAATACACTCGGTCCTTTTCCACCCATGTTCATTTTATAGACAGGCCTTAGTTTGAAAGCGCCCTCTTGCATCTGTAGTGCCTCTTCTGTGTGCTTTTCTTTGTGGATAGTGGCGGTGATGGCAAGAGGAGGAAGAACAGTCAAGAGCTGCTTTTCTTTTCATTTCCACGAGGTCTTTACTTTTTCTTCCTTCCCTCCCTTCTTTCCTTTCTCCACCATATTTCCATCTAATGCCTCCCTTTCTCCGTAGATCTGCTTCTTTGTCAGAAGGTTGGTTCTCCAGGGCGGGCACTTCTGCTTCACTTGCAAGCCTCCTCCTGAAGTTTACGTCGTGTTTCACCCATCCCAGCTGCACTCAGTGTCTTAGCACTTAGCACTGGACTTTCTCTTTCTAGGAATGACTTCGTCCAGGCCTTACTCAGTCTTGCTGGCCTTGCTCATCTCCTGTTTCTCACAGAGCTCCACCTCTGTGGCCCTCCACACCCACCAACTGATGACTTCCCATCATGGCTCCCACATTTAACGATGTGGAAAAATGACTTGATCACTAGAAAGCTCCACTTTTGAGTTAAAAATATCTTGCTGCACAGTGCCCAGTGCTGGCCCATGACAGGAACTTGCTTATAGAAGTAAAAGCTGAAAGAAAGGCTGAAACTCTAGACAGAGCTTCTAGGGCCATCGAGGTGCCCCAGTGACCTCCCTCCCCTCAGAGGAATCGGCAGCTCTTTTCCATGCAATAACAGAGACACGCAAAGAACCAAATACCCCGAGTCTTATTCTCCCTAAACTTAAACCTCCAAAGCCTCTTTGTCTGCCCACCAGGCGCACATCAGTGCTCAACAGGAGAGGGAAGCGCTGTTGCCTCCGTGTTTTGCTGTGCCTCATTAGTGTCGCGCTCTCCCAGAATGGACAGGTAGACTGTGTGGGCAAGGGCGGCAACACGGTCTACGACATCATTCTCTAAGGCACAGAGCCAGTCATGGGGTCAATGTGGTTCCCAGCGTTGGACAAAGCACTATCGGATCCATGCAGCTGATGAGAAATGTCAACTTATTTCCCAGGTCTGGACCTGGCCAATAAGATGCCTTCTCCCAGAACCCTGAAGACTCATCTACCTGTTCAGATGCTACCACCGTCCTTCTGGAGAGAGAATTCAAAAGTAAGGTTTGCTACTCTAAGTAGAAACAAGCAAAGACAGCCAAAGGAAACTGATCAGAGAACTACCTAGAACATGGCTGCAGGCCATGATACCATACCCTCCACTCTGGATCCACCTGTCTTTCCTAATACTATTTCTAGAAATACACTGGGAAATTGTTCTGATTGACAGCTAAGCCACCGTCCAAGGCAGTGGTCAATGAACAAAGCAGGCGTTTCCTGAGGAAGGTCGGTATCTTAGTTTGGGCCCTCCAACAAGCACAGGGTACGGGGGAGCTAGATATGCAAATATCTATTTGGGGGAAAACCTGCGGGGAGAAAGTGGAGACAAAGGAGCACGGAGAGCCATCAGACCGGGATGCAGGCCTGATCCCGTGGGGCAGGTAAGGAGATCTGGGACATTCGCAATGAAGCCCTGAGCAAAATGCAGCCACAGCAATGCAGATTCCCCAACCAAAGCCAACCATCAGAGAGCCCTGATCGCCTAGATAGCCCTGTCACGCTCTCTCTTTAGCCAAGAGCAGCCTTTCAGAAATGTGGCCTTTCAAGGAATATGGTGGCAAATTCAGAGTGATGCAGCTGAGTCTGTCACTTATATTCTCCACTGTCAAATCTGAAGTCCATGCTCACGTTCCTTTTCTGGCGGTTCCAATTAGATAATGTCCACTTTGGTGTTCAAAAACTATTTCTCTTCCTTTCAGGATGAGAAATCTGATTTTGTTAGCATCTAAAAACTTGGCCCACACTTAAAAAGAACATATCTCATGAAGCAAGCTTCCAGAGGGTATTATGCCTCTATGTCCTCCTTTACAAATATTTTTGACACTTCCTAATTGAAATCCCACAAATGCAGTGCACATTGACTACATTAGTGTTTCCTTTTGATATGTGCTCCACCAGTGAAACTTGAAATCAATGTAATATGGAATATAAAACAAATACCAAATTAAAATTTCCAATAGAAAGTACAATCACGTGGCAGAATCAGATGCTCATATTAACTGGACTAGAATATCTCCTTATGGGCAAGATCCTAGGGAAACCCAATTACCTGAAGGTCACATACAAAGTGAGTTGATGTTAGGTTTCTCACTGCCAAGATAACCACAAGCTCTTTCACTTTCTATATGAACTCAATTAGAAACCATAAGAGTTATGTCTGTTTAGCTATAGCACTGTCCTTGGTGCCGTGTCCATATACAAAATGCAATTCTGTTTTCTGGGTTTCTAGGACTCACCAATTCTTTATCTTGACCATCTCCTCTCTCCCTAAAGTACAATATTACTGAACAGTTGTTCATATTCAGAAATGCTCTCCCCTTCCTGTGAGGGGGGAAAGTGGGGGCAAGACAAAATAGTATAGACAGCCATAAGACTATGCTCAGGAATTCTACCCCATTCCTGAGATTACACCCAAGATACCTTGACTCGTGAAAATTGTTTGTTTTGTTGCCACAGAAACTTCCATTCATGACATGCTAATTTTGCTGCTTAAAAACCAGTATTATTACCAGATCTTGTAGGCTTAGTGTCAGAAGATACACTAGCCCTTGGTTAATCACCATACTAACACCTTCTTTTTGTAAACTCAGGTCTTCTAAATAATGTAGAAATATCAATGGCATTATCTCTCTTTATCCACTAAGATTTGTGGGTTAGTTGAGTAGGAAATGACTTTAGAGAACTTAGTACAAGGTTTTCATTTTAGGATGGTATAATAGGGTGAAGACTGATTGCCCAAAGATATCTGCATCTATTAAACAGTACCTGGGAATGTTATTATTGCAAAATGGACCTTGTAGGTATGATAAAATTAAGAATCTTAAGATGGTATGATTATCCTGGATTATCTAGGCCCTAGATATCACCATGAAGGACTTTATAATACAGGAGAAAGCTGATCAAAGGAGGAAATAGGAAATGTGACAAATAAAGAAGTTAGAGTGATCCAGGAGGGTGTCAGGAGGCAAAAAATGCAGTCACACTCCAGAAGTCAAACACAAGGAAATGAACTTTTCCCTAGAACTACCAAAAGGAACCAGCTTTGCTTACACCTTGACTTTAGCCCAGTGAAATCTGACCTCCATATCTATAAAAGAATAAATCTACATTGTTTTAAAACACTGAATTTGTGGTGACTTGTTTCATCAGCAATTCAAAACTAATACAGGCCAACAAACTCTTGGAAATTGATTTAACATTGGACTACACATCCCTATCTAGCCCAAGACTCATACTGTTAGTTACTCAGGCCTTGAAAGCAAGAGCCGACATAAAAATTAAGAAATAGCTAAGAAAATATATTGATACATGGCTTTGCAGTTACCTCAATTTTTTTGGTTTCTTAATTATGTTCATGAATATTGGATGGAAATCCAACAGCAAAAAATGGGCCAGAAAAATATTTATGACAGGACTAAGAGAATAATAGGTAAAATGCAGTTGGGAATGTGTGTGTGTGTGTGTGTGTGTGTGTGTG